TACATGTATGATCACAAACATTACTACTAGGACAGCATTCATTGATATCTAGGAAATCATTTATAATTAGATTAAAAGTAAAAAATTTACCAGAGCAGTTGTGTCCATCGTATGTTAACATATACCCACTATTGCATGAGCAGGTATAGGAACCAAGAGTATTGCTACAAATCTGATGACAACCACCATTGTCAGCATCACACTCGTTAATATCTAAATGTAACTTCAATTTAACCAACAAAATATGAATTTATTACCTGAGCAGTTTTTCTGGTCAATATTAAAAAAATAGCCATTCTGACATGAGCATGTGTAACTACCATTTAGATTGTGACAAGTTCCTTCACATCCTCCATTGTCTATTGTACATTCATCAATATCAGTACAATAATAACTGTCATATTGAAACTGATAACCAGCTAAACAACTGCAAGTGTAGCTACCATCAGTGTTATTGCATATCTGATTACAATTTGAAGTTCCTTCATTGCATTCATCAATATCTACCAAATTGTTCAGTGAAACCATTCATTTAATTAAAACTTACCATTACAAGTGCTATTAGTTTGAATATCTAATCTGTATCCAGAGTTACATTCACAATAAAAGGAACCATCAGTGTTGTGGCAAGTTTGCTCACAAGTGTCATTACCAATCTGGCACTCATCAATGTCTGTTATATTTTTTAAATAAGAAACTGTTATGCTTTATTGGCTTACCCATACAAGAAATCTCATTCGATTTGAGTGAATACCCAGTATGACATGAACAATGATATGAACCAGGATCATTGATACAGACTTGATCACAGGTATCAGTTCCCATTACACATTCATCATTATCTGAGATTGATATAAACCCATAACTGTTAATCGTTCACTAACCTATGCAAGTGTGATTATCATTGCTCAAGTAGTATCCATTTTGACAACCACAGTAGTAACTACCAACAGTGTTAGTACATTCTTGGTTACAGCCAGAAATGTTTAGAATACATTCATTAATATCTATACAAACACTTACCAGCAATAGCATTATGCATCAATAACTGACCTGAACAAAAAACACTGCCACTGTATCCAATCTGACAAGTACAATTGAAGCTTCCATTTGTATTAATACAAATGTGCTGACAGCCACCATTGCTAGTAAGGCATTCATTTGTGTCTAGTACAATTATAACATTATCATTTAATAGAAGTGCATACTAGTACATCATCTACCTTCACAATTTATAGAGTTAACATCAGTTGAGTGATAGCCATCATAACATTCACATTGATGGCTTCCAGGAATATTTGTGCACGTTTGTGAACAGTCACCATTACCAATATCACATTCATTAATATCTGTTAGT